TCATATGCAAAAGGGTTAAACACCTACAGTCACAAAGTTCATATCAGTACAGTGAAACCTTGTATAACACGATACTAGTTTTGCACGTGCTTGATTTTCTTATATGGGACAACTTTCATACACCCTGCTTGGCGGAATGGGGTTCACAAAAAAATCTTTATAAGATTCTTACTAAAGTGATTAACACAGATATTGAAGACATCTTTGGATTTGAATCAAAAATAAATAAAATTTTATGAAAGCTAAATTTAAACCAGTTTAAATAAAATTATTTAAATGTGAGTCAGATTTGGCATGGTTTTTTCAAATATTTTATTGTTAAAATTAAAATAAAAAATAATATTTTAAATTTACTTTTTAGTGATATTTAAATTAACACTAGAACATAAATACGTTGAAGTCTCAATCACAATAGATCAAATATATGGAATAGTATGGAATAGCATCTATTTTTATTTATTTATAATGATAGTTTAATTTATAATACTAACATGTATAGATATAGCTCTGGCCTTCAGTAGGCCTTCAGCTATGGAATAGCACCTTGAAAGTATATTTATGAAAAAAGAATTATTTTATAGAAACCTATCGTGAAGCATTTTCAGTACTCATACCTTTCAGTTTTCAATAACTTTTAATAAGATCGTCTTCAAAGAATTTTTCTATTGATTAAATCTTTATCGTTTATCGTCGATTCATGTTATCATGAATTCCCGTATTATAAATCACTGTACACATACCTCGTTATATATATCAATCACTACGGTAAGGATTTTAACATATTCTAAAGGATATATAGTCATATGCAGTAATTCTTAAAACGATGAACACGTATTTATACAATGATGGCCTTAATCGTATAGTTAGACTCATAAATGGAGAAGTGATAATCTATAAAGAGTAGAGGAAATATTAAAGATCTAAAGGCTTTTTTTAAAAGCGCATTGTATATCGTCTTCTTCCAAAACTTGTAAGACAATTATGAAAATTATAAAAAAATCTGTCATTTTATTTAAAAGAATTTTTTTTTGACTTAAATTAATGCCAAAAATCCAGAAATTCAGAAATTGAAAGAGAATTGTGATAATAAATGCAATCTACTTATTTATTGCTACTTATTCCCAGAGTACGGATGTTATCTGGTATATGATGTTTGGAGATTTGGATGTGGTTTGGTGTTTTTTGTTTTTAATACTATAACGTTAGTAGTTAATGCCATAATTTCTATTATATATAATATAAAAAGAAGGACTCTCATAGTCTTTGGAATTTTGGCAAAATTGAAGGTAATTCACTGGTTTTTTGACGTTAATCAAGAAATTCCTTATAACAATAGAGATGTCTGAAATCCTGTTTGATTTGAGTTAGCATAAAATGTTATTCGTAAAAAAATAATTCGTGTAAACATAAACTGTACTACATTAAGTGAACTGTCTTCATTGATGGGGAAATCTATGAGTAGATATGATGATAGAATCAAAAGATAAGGGTCACATACAAATTTTAGATATAGCTATTAGTTAATAAAAAATTAAAATCAGTTAACACAAAACGGCTTTAAAATTATATTTTATTTATAGAGCAAATTTCGCAAAAATTTAATGGCTTCTTGTATATATGAACATTGGTACATATATGACCGTTGGTATATAGCCATAAGAGTTTCAGCTGCAAATAATTAAGTCAATTGTTTTTTTTATTATTTTTACAAAAAACTACAAAAAATCTTTAATTTCAAAAGATTTAGCATATGATGGCCTACTGAGTACCAAGATTCACATAGCTTCAAATAACACGGTATTTCCAGGAATAAATTAACCACGTTAATCAAGAGCTTACTGTGTGTGTAAATAACACCACACATTCGCAATATGTGGTGTCAATGTATACAATACTGAGAATTTTAACAGTGATGAAAAATACGAGTTGCATTGCATCATCCATAACAAGTCACAAAACGACCCAATAACAATTCAAATTTATCAAATATATCTTGAATTGTTTTTAATTATATCACATTATAATTTATTTATGTAATACATAAAATATAGTATATAATAATTTAATAAAATATAATATAATGTAATATAAAAGAACATAGTATGATTAATAATACATAATATGAAGTAAAATATAGCGTTTTATATGCAATATCGTTTTATTATATATAATATACTTAATATCAGGAAACAAGTTATTAAAGATTCTTGATTCCTAGAAACGAAAGAATCGTATGGACGAGTTGGGGGCTTACCTTTTCTATATTAAACAAAACACATTGTCTACCCGTGAAAAAATATGACTCATATAAACCACTACATCTAAAACATATTAAAGTTTATTATGGAATTAGTGTAAGTCATATGTATAGATTTGTATAATCCATTAAATATTACTTATGTGATTTGACTGATATTTTTTATACATATGTAAATGGGATCGAAGAAAATAATGGGTCAAAGTTGACCTCTTTTTCGAAATTTTTTAATAAACCACATTAATTCAAAATTTTAAATAAATAAATTAAGTAAATAAGTAAAAAAATTTTTATTTGTTTTTTCCACAATACGAGTAATACTCTTTTAAGTTGCGAAGAATTTTTGTGAAAGAACTTTCCGTTTTTCATAAACTATAATTTTCTGAGATATGATTACCTATTTTTCATTTTTCAACAAAAACGAACAAACTTACTTACAAAATTTGACTCAACAGTATCGTGTTATTTCGAAATAATTCGAAATTGCAGTTATAAGTGCATGATGAACGGAAAATTATTTGGCATAACATGTTGGAAAAATAATAACGTGTTCATATAAAGAAAGTGAATGAAAATACTTAACAAAAATTTTAAAATGATTATGCTCTTCTGAATAAATGCCCGAACATTTCTAAAAAAATTATATGATATGTTGTTTTGATGAACCAATTTTCAAGTAGTACCTTACATGTTTTCATTTTTTTTCGGGCAGAGTTCTCCGTTTTTCGAGAAATATTAAAAATGCCAGAATGATTCGAGAGTACCCAATCAAAAATGAAGAAAATCGAAAGGTTGCTATCAAAGACCCTTGAAAGATGACTTTTTTCAAGTGTGGTTATACGCGCTATAGATGACGTTTGTTTTCAACAAGACTGCGCCATAGTTTAGAAACCAGCAAATTATTGGAGTAAACACTTGAAGACTATATTGCTTCCAGAAATGGAGTTATAGCAAAAGTTTATCACCGATAAAGCATTTCTTATGAACCATTTAAATTTATTAGTCTAAATAACAAACCAATAATTATGCTTTTCTATTGTAGACAAGAGAACACATATTCACTATTCATGGGATATAGACTAGGCAACTTTTGAGATATTTTCGAAATCGTTGTCTGACCGAAATCATTTTTTATCTACAAAGTCATAAAATTATGTTTTGAATAAAATTAAATATTTAATTCACTTCATCGAATTGTGTTTGTTTTTTAATTTAATTTAAAAACCTAAAAATCCATAAAAAATACTTTTTATATAATTAGTATAGCTATATGTCTATCAGAAAAACTAATTTTCTGTCTGTTTGTTCGTTTGTCTATTTTTCTATCTAACTAAAGAAATAATATAGTAAAATATTTTACAGTATTATATTATTCGTCCATTTGTCTATCTACCTGAAGAGCTAATAATAGTATGATACACTGTAGTATACTTTTTCTATTTATTACTTGTCTATTTATATGCATATTTGTGTAAAGACAGTATTATTTTTTAGTCTATTTGACTATATGTTTAAAAAGATAATACAGTATAAGATGATATTATTGATAGTATGATACACTATAGTATACTTTTTCTATCCATTACTTATCTATTTTTTGCATATTTGTGTAAAGAGACGATCATATAAATATGAAATAGTATTATTTTTTAGTCTATTTGACTATATGTTTAAAAAGTTAATACAGTATAAGATGATATTATTTGTCCATCTGTCTGTTTATCTACTTAAACAAATAATGATCATCGTTATATGGTCATTATGTGGAATATACTAGAGTACATATATTTGGTCTATTACTTTTCTATTTTTATGAATATCTGTATTAGAAGTTGATATGTATGTTGATACATGATTGAGTTTTATTTGTTCGCCCCTTTACTTGTCTAAAGAAATAATAATAGTATAATAGACTATAGTATATTTTGTCTGTTTGTTTGAATATCTGTGTAAAGAAATGATATAGTATGATATATGTTATAGTATGCTTGTCTGTCTCTTTAAAAAGAGATTACAGTATAAAAAGGTGTGATTTTATTTGTCTAATAGCCACACAGATCTGCATAAAGAAATAATAATAACATAATATAATATATTAATATTGGCTTGTGTATTATTGTATGCGACTGCATGTTAAAGGACACATGATGTATTGTAGTTTATGATATACTATAATGTGTAGGAGATAATGTATAATATTCTAATATGATATAATATTATTTGTTTAGGTACTGTCTGACTGTCTGTTTAAGGAGATAATACAATTTATGATATAGTATTATTTGTCTGTTTATCTGACTATTATTAATATAATATGATATAGTGTATTGTGCCATAATAACATATATAGTTTGTTTTTATTTTATATGAGGTCATCCAACTAGTAGTTCGAGGTAGTTCCATGGTGCGTCATATCGAACAAAGTTCTTAGAAAAAGACTATGAAATGTTTGGGAAAAGTTTTTGGTCCACATAAATAAAAGTCGATCAAATTTAAATGAGATATTACGCAGAAAGCCAACTTAAACTTGATATACATAACTTGCGTGAGTCTGGGCATGTACGAAAAGCGAAAAACAAAGCTGATGCGATATGAATCTTTTACGTATTCCAAACTAATTAATTAGTTGATGTTTAAAAAACATCAACAAAAACAAGTTTTAAAATTTTGATTTTCAGACTTTACCACGACATATTTGCATGATCCGACCAGTCGTATAAAATGCCAGTTGAGCACAACAAAATCGAACACTTGTTATAAAATCTTCGCAAAGCAAAGATCAAATAATCAGTAGAGATCACTTAAAACATTTTTAAGCAAATTAAAATAAAAACATAATTTTGATACTAAATTGAATAATAAAGTTCGATAAATTTCTAGAAAGCAGCATCAACACATGTGTCAATGAATAACCGGGCGGACACAAAAGCAAAATTATTAGCCAATTTAAGGTGAGGTGACATTACCTATTGTGAAAAATGAAAAGTATTAATAACGTATTTTTTTTTTTTTTGTAGTTTATCCAAACACTTATCATCAAAAAAAGGTTCCAGAACCAGTAACTGCGGTAATCGTCTTGAGTTTGCAGTGTTAACGCTCATACAAAACGTTCCCTGACTATAATCATCCAACTAGGAAATTTGAACTGAGTAACAAATTTTTCGAATTAATTTGCGACACAACAAAAGCATCGAAATGGTTCACAAACATCGTTCAGCTCAAAAGGCTACAATCACTAAAGATATAAGTCCCATGCGCAACACGAATTACAACAAAATAGCCCTGTCCTCCAGTCCAGTAAATCGTAACGATTTCTATTTGAAAACCAACCTCACTTTACCCTCGGCAGCACCGCAACAATCAAGCAATTCATCCATGTGGAAGTACAATGAAATGGTCAACAATAAACGAGAGCAGTTCAACAGTCTCCACTTCTGCTAAAGAGCTTCTTGTTCGTTAATTATTAGAAAATTGTCAGTCCAATAAATCAGTTCATTTCTATTAACCAGAATTCCAGCAGAAAATAGACTTTTCTATGTATTTTTAGTTGCGTGACTATTGACTTGCGGTTGGGTTGCTATGCCTGAAACTTCCGAATGCTCGGATTACGTCCGGCAAATACGTTAATACGTGTCGCCTGTTTAGTCAATACGCTCACTGAATTACCAAAAGTATTTCCAGTACTTTGATAATGCAAAATATAATATAACCCACAAAAAAACCATAAAAAAAAATACAAATAAATAATAATCAAAGTTGTTTCATTCTACGAAATCGTCTTGCACGCAGTATGTAGCCGTTGTCACGTGGCAAATATTTGCTAAGCCGAAATGGAATTGTGAAAAATTTGTCACTGTAAACGCTTAAATAAGTTTTCCACACGCAGTGTGGGAAGCCACCACACGTCATCGCCCTGCTTGCAACGAATGCCGATATCTGTTCGTGCTTACTTGCCAATTTTGTTCGCGGTACATTAGGTATTTGTTTATTAGTTCTCTGCAAATTAAATTATTCCACATGTCGCACATATTTCATCATTAATTGTTGCTTTCGAATTCGCTACTGCCACGAATCCGGTATAAAACTCATAAGACTTCACGACAATCCGGCAATCCGGCAAACCGACTATCCGTCTATCCGGCAATCCAACAATCCAACAATCCAACAATTTTGTTAATATATGCATAATAGAGACAAACGAGTATTTTGCATCTCATTATCAAAAAAATAAAAAAACAGTGTACACGCATAACTGCTTTTCGCGAACGTTCACCAAAGATTCAAATCATACCAAATCATCTTAGATTTAATGAAATACACTCTTAACAGTTATGATATAAAAACCGCAGAGGTATTTCACTTTCCGAATGATTTTTTTATCATTTTTGACATGAACAGTGTGAAAAGGTTGCCGAAAAGCATTCAAGGAGACATGGTATACCCAATAAAGTACATGTATTCGGTTAAGCGCAGTCCAACTGTCTGCTTGGAACACGTCTGTTTGTATAGCTGCTTATCGTTCCATGTACCTTGCTTCTTATCTGTTTCTTATATAGCTGTTTGCCTTTCTACCATTTTTTTTTATATTTAATATAATAACAAACAAAGCATAGAAACCCAAAGTCAGTGCAAGACTAATTCTAAACTAAACTAATTACTTCGATTCGGACGGTTATAATCTTCTGGTAAACCTATTTACTTGTCTCCTTTAAGTCTGCTTGCCTAGACTACAAATCTCTCCGTTCATTAGCATAGCTACAGGTCGGGGTGTCTATCTATAAGTATTTAAGCAAGCCTGTTTTCAAAATCTTTATTTATGTGTTTATTTGCATCTCTGCATATATATTATTTTATTTTTTTTCAATCAGAAGTACAGCATTGAAAGTCCAAGTTAGTTGCTGACTTTAATACGTTATTGTCTTCATCGTACCGATGACTGCATCCTCCTGTTGCTATGCCAACATTTATAGGAGGCTGTTAAATTCAATCACGTTTTTCAATCATTCATGAGCATATACAGTTGCTGCTCTTTTTAAACCATTCTATTCTCATAAACTCTCTAATGGTATGATCTGCAAATACCATATGTAAGCTAAACATTACCTATCAGACGATGAGCACATCTATTGTTTTGGATTGACGATTGTGTGCACGATCCCAATCACATTTTCTAATATTCCTCGTTTCATGTTGGAACAGCATATGGTCCTTAAGATAAAAATCAACAAAGTATTACTTGAAGCACTCATGATCGTAGTACTTTAGGTCTTATAAGTCGCAGTGTATCTAATAATATATACAACCATGATCAGTGCAGAATTCGTTCGAAAGTTAAGCGGTGTTTTAAAGGGTTATATCATCAGTGACTTTTTAATCGATGAGATATATCTTATATATCGTTTTATTGCTGATATTGGTTTCAGTATGTCTGTATATCTGCTACCTCTTTGCTATGGGTTTATCCATCATTTATTTATCTATCTATAAGTCATTCCACGTTACTATTTTTTGTCAAATCAGATAAGAGTAGATACATTCCTGAGTCTATATATATATATGTTCATATGTCTATCTATATATCGGTGTCTCGGTGTCTGTGAGCCTGATGTCTTTTTGTCTACCTTAATATATGGCTGTATATCTCGTGGTTCATACACAATTCTTGTTTATTATTTGGTTATATTACCATTTCTGTGTGAATGACTGTTTATGCTAAATTTTTTCATAATTTATACCATATCAAACTTCCGTTGTTTATTGATGCCCTGAAAGTAAGTACCAACGTCGTATTTGAAGTACGATTTGTGCACTTCAATGCGTTCTTGCAGTGCAGATTAAAAAAATTGTCGTCATGTTTATATTTAAAAAGATACTGCTTTAAACATGCTACGTGTCTGTCTAGGATATATAAATCGTATACATTAACAAATATACCTATTACTAAGCAGCTATTCTTTCGTTTTTTAAGTGACTAGTTCTAGCATTAGGTGTCCAAAGCCACCTAAAAGATGGATGTTTAAATAGCATTATATCGCCGATATTAGTTGCAATGAATATTTCGTCAAAGCACCTCTTACGACGATTCCATAACTCTGATCATTTATATTCCACTTTTTGAGTGAAGATTTGGAAAGTACTCCATTAAATTAGTCAAAATATTCGCAAATTACAGACTCTTTAGGAAGTCTACTGTTAATTAAACAATTTAAATGGACGGTATTCTACTAAGAAGAAAAAATAATTATAAATAATTAAAAAATTTATTTTATTTGTTTATAGTCTAATAAAACCTATATGTTTAAGTTTCAATGGTAGATAGAAACTTTAGTTGCTATTCAGTGTCAGGTCCTGAGCTTGGCAAAAACATAGCAGATGAGAGACACTCTTATCGCCTTCTCCACAGCTGGGACAGATTTGATAATTTACTAATATAATAATTTCCTACATAAACTTTCTATTTAATGAAAATAGACCTTTCCAAAGATTCTGATTTGAAATCCATTAGTACGTAAGGAAACGTTTAAATAATTTACATGGTTATAGAGTACTTAAAAAATTATTCCTGTATGTATTATTCTCATTCATTATAATAAATTTATATAGGTACGAGTATATTTACTCTTAGATGAAACTAATGAAGACGTTGTTAACATATCAGCCGCGATTACTCTTTTCATCGTTATTATAATGTGGTAAAATGTTGAAATGGTAAAAAATTTTAAATATTTCGAAGCTATTCGAGTCACATTTATGTGCTGCCTTTTATTTTTATTATTCCACTAAATTAAATCTCTTTCAATCCGCACTGTGATTCAGCAGGCGTCAGCAGTCATTAAATTATCACACATTTTACTTCAAAACAATTTAAAAGTGGCATAACTCACTTTCATTTAAAACAGACGAAAAGCAACCCACATCTCAAGTAAGCCATAACATCCCCTTCATCTTCGTTTCTTCGTTTCTCATCTCCCGAACTCACCCCATTTGAACAATTTTCGACCTGAGCCTTCAGCTCTATAGCTCTATAGCTCTATCCTTTGAGCTTGAATTGCGAAATGCTGCCACATTACAAGCTCAAAACATGATTATTACATCCGGAAACATAACCGTAACAAGATGTTACAGGAAACATATGTGGGCGGTACATGGAACATCCCAAGAAGATTGCGAAACCGTTTGCATGATGTTAATGATTATGACAGTGTGCCTATCAACCGCTTGTGTAATTCCGCCCTAAACCCTGAGCTATTACATTTAATTTAGTTTTTGTTTTACTGTTATGCACTCAAAGGGACATCAAACGCATTAACACAACGCACACTCTCTGACTCACTCGCACACATCCACATGCGGTCGTACAAAATAGCACAATACACCCAGGCAGCATGACTTGCAATCTGAAATCTGAAATAAGTGACGATAAATCATAATCGAAACATCAATTCCAGCACTTGACCCCTGCTGACGACGAGTTATCGCAAGGCCAACATGATACTTGTGGCCAAGAGTATTTTTGAGCATTATTGCATTTAAATCAAAAAGTGTACCCAATTACTTAAGAGCAAATGTACAATATATTAAGCTAATATATTTGCTGTTGATGGCGCGGAAGCGAGGGGATTAATATTTGCCTGTGTTTGTGTGAGTGTTTGCGCGAGTGTGTGTCTGTTTTCAGTACACGGAGAAAACAAAGCGATTAGATTTGAAGAGTTTAAACATTTTTAAATATTATTATTTTTTTTTTAATTTAAGACATCCGAAGATGAATAGACTTACTTTCTTATCCTCGTCTTATTATTGGATTATGGTGATGTGAACTGCAAAACTTATATTTACTTGGAAGTAGGACGTTTATGCGTAATATCACCTCATAAATAACTACATTTGCTAAATTTAGAGACGTTAGTTGGTTGAGTGGATGTATTAGTAGGCCATTCGTTAACTTCCATGTACCTCAATTAGCGATCTTACCACATTCTTCGCAAGAACCCCTAATATAGAAGATTAGAGACTAAATCCATCCCGTTGAATTTAGATACTTTAATAGGTCTCTCGTCTTCATTGATGAACAGTCTGATAAACTGTACTTACTATCTTTCTAAAAACCTTATTTTTCTTAAAGCTTTTTCATTTAAGCTTTTTAATATTACAAAATCAAGAAAATATATAATAGGGTCTTAGTATATTACTCTGTTCCCGATTGACACCACTGCTTCATACACGGGATGTTCAAAAAGTTTTGCGACCTAGCATAAATCAGACGCTTTATAGAGAAATTATTTTTTCGATATTAAAAACAACGCTTTAAAATATGAAGATGGCAATCAAAATTCTTTTTAAAATTTTCTTTCATGGGCCAACTTCAAGTGCTTCTGAACATACAGGGAAATAAATATTATGTTGTGATTAGCGTTTTATATTTTAAAAATCATGCACAATTGATATTAAGTCCCAATTAAATGAACCTAGTCCCTGAACTATAATGGATCATCATAGACAGTAAAAAGTATA